CAAATGATTTTGAGTTTTGTTCCACATTGTTTTCCCTCTCTATCAAGGATCTGCTACACAGATCCCCTTCCAAGTGGATGACAGTGGTAGCCGGGCACCATGTAGTTCTTCTGGTCTCACAGTCGTATAGGCTGCAGATCGAAATGCTACAATGTCGATGAACACTGCAAACATTACGGTAAATGAAAGAAGTCAGGCAATAAAAGCCATATATAGGATCATTCATTTTATATATTGTTGGCAATTGTCTACCAAAAAAGCAGAATCACAGTTGCTAGGTGTTGTGTGAACAGGTGACTGAAAAGTGACTGTTAATAGGTACAGAGTTTCTCTCTTTTGGAGATGAAAATGAATTGAACACTTTAAAATGGTTAAGTGGTAAAGTAAAATTTTATATTGTTCTAAATTTATCCTAAAAAAAATCACGAGTTAAAAATAACTATTTTGAATTGAATGACATTGAAAGTAGAACCTGTCAAAACTTGTGGGAAGAAGTAAAAGCAATTCTTAGAGAGAAGTTTTGAGTATAAAATGCACATATTACATAAGAAATAATTTTAAAAATAAATGTTCAAAGATTTTGACTTAAGAAGGTTAAAAAATAAGAGGAAAATAAGCAGAAAGTTGATAGAAGAGAGGAAATAGTAAAGATGAGAAAATCAATAAAATAGGAAATGACAAGAACATAAAATTCAATGAAATGAAAACCTGTTTTTTGAGAATATAAATAAAATTTCTGAAGCCCTAGCTAGAATCAAGGAAAAGACAGAGAGAGGGAGAGAGAGAGACAACGAGAGAGAGAGAGAGAGAGAGAGAGATACACAGATGAACAGACTGAGACAGAGGAAGAAAGACTTAACCATATTAATAATAAGAGTATATACATCATTACATGTGTTCCAAACATTAACAGTATACTAAAAATGTATAAAACTGTAGCCAATATATTTGAAAATTTAGGAACCACTTTCTTTTTTTTAACTTGTATTGTGATTTGGGTGAAAGTTTACAGAGGAAATTCATTTTCCATATAGCAGTTCATATACATTTTGTTTCACATCATTAACTACAATCCTCTCAATAAAACAGCTCTCTTTCCACTTCCCTATAGTTACCTCTTTCCTGTGTCCTTCTTTCCTATGTATTCCTGCCCCCTGAGCTATCTCCTTGTGCAAATGTTGTTATTGTTGTTATGTGCCATCAAGTCATCTCCAACTCATAATGACCCTACGCACAGCA